GATAGAGCAGTGGACCGAGATGGTAGAGAGGTTAGAGACAATGCAGGCTGACTTCAAGAGCAGGTTAAAGGCAAGTGAGAGGAGAATGAAGAAGCGGTTTGAGAAGCTGAAAGAAGGCTTGGAGACTGAGGTAACTGACAAGATAAAGAAGATGCAGAAAAAGTTGAACCGATACAAGACGAAAACTGAAAGACCGAGGACACATATTGCATCAGTGGCTGCCCGGAGCACACAGCCTACTCTTCCGGAGTAGGACAGGTTCTACCACCCTACTTTAGCTTCATATTTTAATATTTTGAGTCGGGAATAGTTTTTTGTATAATTTTTAGTCTTATTTTTACGCATGATCATTTCACTTGAGAACTGTTAACACATGAGATCATAGCCTGAATAATTTTAGTGATTGTTTGTCATTTGATCATGGTACTTTGTTTTTTACTAGAACTAGCAAAACCCTTTTTGGGAAAACACTTTGATCACATAATCCCCATGAGGAAATGAGATAGGGCATCTTTTCTATACTCATGCTAGCCACTTGCACCCTTTAAACACCATTTACCCCACATAACACCAATGAGGACATTGTCATATTCAAGTTTGGGGGAGGAGTTCACATAAGGACACAAAGTCAATACAAAAGAGCAAAGCTCTAAATTGACTCCTTATCACACAAAGGGTATTGAAAACACAACAAAAGTCCCATAGGGGCTATGTGTTTTAGAAAATGWTATGAAATKGCACAACAAAAGTCCCATAGGGACTATGTGCACACTCCAAGCAAAAGAGGCCAAAAGGCCCAAAAATTTGAAAAATTTGTATGTGGAGTATATAAGCGAAAAAGGCTATGAGAGAAAAGATACGCCAATGAGAGAATACCCCTTTAAGCCCTATTGATCCTAATATGGTGATTGTGTTTGAACTTAACAGAGAAAAGGGAATGCTAGCCTATGGTTCATGCAAAGAACTTAGTTTTGATTGACACTTCTTAGATTTATAAAAGGCTATGAACATCATGATGCTATAACTCTCTTTGGGAAGGCACTTAATGCCTAGATCATGCATTTTAGTTTATATTGAGTCTTTATATTTGTCTTTTGGTTGCTTGGGGACAAGCAACGGTTCAAGTTTGGGGGTATGATATGTGTTGAGAATTTAACACATAACGCGCTCTTTTTAGGATTTTTTAGTTACAATAATTTCTTTTCATTCCCAAATTGAGTCHTTTTCATTTATTTCTTTATACTTTTGTTATTATGAAGCTAAATGTTGTGGTTAACTTGATGGCATGCAAAATTGAAGCTAATTGAGAGTTTTTGTGAAAACAGCAAATGCTACAGCATTAGTGCAGCGTTGACCTGGGTCATGCACGACTTTTTGGAGGACTTAATGAACAAGACGTTGGCTTTTTGAAGGTGGAATACAGCTGTAAAGTGGTTGGATTTTTAGTAGAAAATCAGTTGTACTCTTTAGTTAAGCTTATGTACTCTCTAGTTAAGCTTTTGTACTTTTTAGTTGAACTTTGGTTAAGGGTTGTACTTTTTAGTTAAAGCTTTTGTTGTAATATAACTAGTGTTGGTAAACTTAGCCTCCAAGCTTAGTTCTTTTGTCTTTAAGTGCCCATTTTGGGTATAAATAGGAGGCTAGGGTCACCATATTTCACACACTTTTTAATCCATCATCCATTGGATTCTCTCTAATCCTCCTTCTCTTTTCTCCCAACTTTTCTTTTTTTTGTTTTAAACCCTCTCCTAGGGTGTTCTTCAAGTTCTTTAAGATTTCAAGTTCATCTTCATCTTCTTCTTTATTTACTTTATTGTCTTTTATTTTTCCGTTATTTACTTTCCGTTATTTACATTTCGTTATTTATTTTCTCGTCATTTACATTCCGTCATTTATTTTCCGCTATTTACATTCTCGTCATTTACATTCCCGTCATTTATTTTATCGTCATTTACATWTCYGTCATTTATTTTATTGTCATTTACTTTACGCAATTTACATTTATGTCTTTACYTTCCGTCATTTATTTTTTACTTTCCGTCATGAGTAGCTAAGCTTTTATAGCTTGGGTGTGAGACGAAAAGGTGAGATTTTCAAACCAAACGAAAGTAGCTAAGTGTTTTCGAAAACGACGTTTCATTGTTTCATTCAAGTTTTTATAAAACCAAGCACATTTCTTGACGGGTTGATCACTTGAAAGTGTTAAAGTGCG